GAGCCCCGAAAGTCTGAAACTCGGTAATCCGAAAATCCATTTAATCTGAAACTATAATGTTGATGCTGTTCATCAGGAAATGGAAAGAGCGGGATTGTTTTACCGATCGCGGGAAAGAGTGTGCGTAACTTTATGATGGATAGCCTCTGGATCATTAAAATTAGCAGAATATGGTTTATGTTACCTTGCCTGAATGATCCTATGTAGTTGTCAAACACGACAGCTGTTTCGTGCTACAATGAGCACATCTTCAAAGTGAAGATACAAAAAATCAAATCATTTCGCCCGCGGTTGAGCACGTCAAAAAACACATAAAGTACATGAAGTTCACACAAAAACATATAATACAAACACTTGGCCAAGTACCGCGAACACGCGACGCGGCGCCGGTAATGTGTAGGTCATGACTGGCGCGTGGTCACGGTGGTAGCGGAGACATCCACTTCCCTCCCCATCACCTGTTGTTTATCAGGACCCTTGCGCTGATTGGTCGAGTTCATGATGCGGATGGCGGTGTTATAAATAATATTCGATTTGAATGACAGCTGCTCATTCAAGATATGGTCAGGATGTGTTCTAGCTGCTCTGTAGATTTCAAATTCTTCTATTGTATCCATGCGCCTCTTGTTGTTGCAAAAATGCATGACTTCTAAATTTGTTTCCATGTCAGTGTAGTTATGGTTATGGTTAATGAGATGGTCGGCGAAAGCGGATTTGTTGTTTCTTTTTGGTAAATGTTCTTTAAATCTGGTTTTGAATGAACGAGCAGTTTGTCCGATATAAAAACGTGGGCAGTTGTCACACTTGATTTTATAAACTCCTGTACCATTCACTTTACTACGGGGATTGTTCTTGGTCTGTTGTAGGATGTTGGAAAGTTTATTGGAAGTTGTGTAGGCTATTGTAATATTATTTCGGGCCATCTGTTTAGTTAGGGTATTATTTAGGACTGTGCCAAATTCAGCGCTGACATACTGTTTGTTATTTGTTGTGTTGCTTTGTCTGGTCTTGTTGTGTTTCCTTATCAGTTTGTCAATTAACGAGCTGTTGTAACCATTGGCCACTGCTATGTGTTTTAAGGTGTCGACTTCATTTCTATAGTTTTCATTACTCAACGGTATGGATAATAGTCTGTGAACGTAACTGTTGAAAGCTGCTGTTTTGTGGTTATGAGGGTGGTGTGACGATGAATGGATTGTTTGATCCGTCGTTGTTGGTTTCCTGTAGATATTAAAATCAATTCCTTTATCTGTTCTGGTTATTGATACATCTAAGAAATTTATGGATTTATTGTTCTCAGTTTCTAGTGTGAAGGTTATGTTACGGTGGACGGCGTTCAAATAGTTGGCTAGTAAGTTGATCTGCCTCTGGTTTCCATTGAACAACACTAATGTATCGTCAACATAACGGCTGTAATGTATGATTTTTCCTCTATGTCGGTTCAAATCTGACCATAAAAATTCGTTCTCTATGTGGTTCATAAACAATTCTGATAAAATACTCGACAGAGGGCAGCCCATGGTTAGTCCTTCGTTCTGTTTGTAAAATTGACCATTGAATGTGAAGTAATTTTGATTTAAAATGCATTCTGTTAATTTGATTAGTTCCCTTTTAGCAACTGTCGACAAAGAAGAATTTTTATTTAAGTTAGTTTCTAGGATGTGGATTGTTTCTCTAACAGGCACGTTGGTGTATAAATTAACGACATCGAAGGATGCAAGCATGTATGACCCTTTTAATTCAATGTTTGTTAATTTGTTAACTACGTCTACAGTGTTTTTTACGCTATAGTCATTTTCAAGAACTATTTCTCTCCTGATTATTTCTCAAGTGTTTGTATTATGTGTTTTTGTGTGAACTTTGTGTACTTTATGTGTTTTTTGACGTGCTCAACCGCGGGCGAAATGATTTGATTTTTTGTTTCTTCACTTTGAAGATGTGCTCATTGTAGCACGAAACAGCTGTCGTGTTTGACAACTACATAGGATCATTCAGGCAAGGTAACATAAACCATATTCTGCGTAACTTTGCAAATCTTCTTATTTTACTTATATATTAAAAGCTGAACGGGGAATATATTGATATTGAGTATTTTGCACATCCCGTTAACGGACACCCCTAAACTCTATACTTGAATTGAGGCTCTTGACGAGAAAACGCAAGGAAAAATTAAAAAACGTGACATTTCTTAAATTTTAATGCAGTTTCTTGGACTTCAAAAATTACACTTTTTCAATTCTTCCACTTCGAACGCGTTTTGTAAGAAACCTATAAGATATGACGAAAAAAGTTAAATACGAAAGTTGTAGAAAATTTAATTCCACACTGACGATTTTTCGACATATTTAAGATTCGGCAAAACATTTAGCCGCGCTTTATAAAAAAAATATTGGTCCATGGATTTTTAATGAGCTATAGAGACGGGGTGATATACTCATTAACCGTTTCACATTTCATGATATCGGTTTTCTTATTTAGTTCTTTTAAGAAAAGAATAATTCTTTTCTTAATTTTTAGGTAAATCTTTGCTTACTCAAGGCAGGGTGTCCACAAAAAATTTTTCATTAATTTCCCTGACTTTCCATGACTATCCATGACCATTTACCACTGATTTCCATGACTCACGAACTTTACACGCAAATTATAATATAACATACACACACAAATATAACTGCCTGGACATGTTATTTTGCAGAAAATACTGGAATATGTAATAACAGATAACAATGGAGTACAATAGGTACAACAATGAACTAAAACAAACCGAAAACTCATAAAATAATACAACTGTAATAAATTGAATTGTCGAACATTTGTGAAAAATCCTGAAAAATGCTACAACAGTCCGGGTTACAGCTGACTAGAGCATTGAATGGTCCCCTCAAATCCATCCATAATTGGAAATTTCCATGACTTTCCATGACTTCTTGCCTATTTCCCTGACTTTCAATGACCAAATTTTTTTTCCATGACTTTCCATGACTATCCCTGACTTTCCAGAATGTGGACACCCTGCAAGGTTATTTTTTCTCATTTTTGGCTTTTTTCCAACCTCAATTTGTAATGTACGATGTGGCCGAGTATCGCGATACGGCGATACGATACGGATCGAAGGTGTGTATCGTATCGTCCGTATCGTATCGCCCCTAAATATCGAAAACGATACGTATCGCATTGTATCGACCAAAGTAGTAAAAAATAAAATAACAGGCAACTAAATACTGTAAAAATGATCCTGGTTCTAATTACTTTAAATATCGGCCCTCTATGTGCCGATACGGGATCTAATATCGTTTTTGGCGATACGATATGTATAGTTTTCAAAATATCGTATCGAAATATCGTATCGTCTCTTGTGTATCGCGATATCCCGATACGATACGTATCGCACATTACTAACCTCAATAACTGTTACAAGCACAGCGCAGGTAAACGACGGAACTTCGCAAAAAATTAAACAGCCGTGAATTTTGGTTACGCTTATTTCCCGATCGCGGATAAACGACTGGAATAACGTTGCTATGGAAGCGAACGACCGTGAAATGCAATCTCGCGTATTTACCGATCGCGGTTTGACGGCGGGATTCTTATGCAATTATTACACTTTGTATTCCGTAATTTCGGATTATTAGGGCTCCACTGTTTAGGGCATTTTTGATTGATTTCCCACTTCCTTACTTCCTAAATAGTAAGAAAATAAATAACATTTTCTCACGGCGGTCGCACTTCCCCCCTTACCCCTGCTTGTACTACCCTACTCCCTTCCCCCCGCACTTCTCCACCATCTACTTTCCCCTAGGTCCATTTTTCCATAGTTTTAGAGATACCTACCCCCAACTACCCGACTCGCCCCTCCCCCTCCCCCCTCTCCCTACTTCCCCCCTATCTAATTTCCCGTTGGCCTCCTCTTTGGAGTTTTATAGCGGTCGTTTTATATGTTCTTATGTTTTGGTTACAGAAACAAAAACAACAACAAAAATGGACAATAATAGTTTTCAAGAACACTCAGATCCAAAGTACTTAGACCCAGGACACTCTAATTTAATTACAGAAAACACAGAAGTAATTCTTTCCGAGGATGTTAACTTGCAAAACAATATCGAAGGAATTAGTCCATTTAATACAGAAAACTCATTTAATTTAAATTTAAATTGAATTTAATTACAATTTGAATTTAATTGTAGAAACAGATAATGGATTAATTTTGTCAGACACCATTTTGCAAAACTTTAACTATGATACTGAGTTGATGCAGAATTCCTTAATTGAAGGCCTCATTCCCAACTCAAATTCTACTGTGATTCGAAATCAAGATGTAACTTACTGTATTTTGGATGTTGATGAAAGTTTATCTAACTGTAATTTAGATTTAAGTATTGAAAATACAGGAATTTCAGACATTGATACCGGTAACGAAAAACTTGCACATTTAATTTTAGATTCAGCTCAAGATACAGAAATAGCAAATGACCAAAAAGATAATGAACTTGAGTTCAAAGCAAAATTAAAGAAAGAGAGCCAAGAGGCTTACAAAAGAAGATTAAAGGTAGAGGCTGAGAAACGTGAAAAAAAGAGAAAGAGACAGAGAATACAAAAAAAAAAGATACCAGAAACTGAAGGAATTAAAAAACAAAACCCAAGGAAAGGAAAAATCTCAGGAAATAACTAGTTCATTGCATTCAGAATCCAACCAGGATTCTTTTGGACTGCCAGATACTGTTGACCTATTCAGTGAAGAAGATAATAGGCCTAATGATATTTTTCCTGAAGACCATAGTTACTTTCAAAGCTGTGATAGTAGCCCTAGTGTAAATAAACCTAACTCGTGTAATAAACGTAAAATACAAACTGATGATGAGACTGACTTAGTTCCTAGTCCTAAAGTTCCTAAGATAACTAAGCGCTTAAAAGAGAGTAAGATAGATTGTAGCACTCCTACAGTTAAACTAGTTCCTAAGACTGATGAAAGCCCTAGTTTGAGTAAATTAGAAACAATCAGAATGAAGGCAAGAGAGAGGCAACGGAAAAGAAGAAGTTTAATGACGGAAGAACAGCTGGAGTTGAAGAGAGCCAAGAATAGAGAGTATATGGCAAAGAAAAAGCAAGAAGAAAAAGAAAACCCGAAAGAAATAAGCGACAGAGAAAAACGAAGATTAGCTAAACTAAACCGAGAACGTGTACAGAAATGGAGAGAGAAAAAGAAGGGAGAGAAAATTGCTGAGTCCCAAAAACATATTGACAATTTGACCTCAGACAATACTATAAATGAACAGACCACACCGAGCAATAAAAGAGATAAAAAACATACAGGCAGTTCATCGAAGAAGCTACTTCAACACAATAAAACATTGGAAGCAGAAAAATACAAAAAGAGATTTCAAAGACTAGCAAACTCAGATAACTCCCCATCACCCTCAAAGAAAATCAGGAAATTAGCCGGTGGCAAGAAATTACCATGACCAGTGAAAAGAAGATTGAAGTTTTTTGAAACTCTAGAAAGCGGCCTGATCAACAAGAGAAATGAAATTAAAAAGAGAGGAAACCTAAAGGAACTTAACGATTTTAATGCAATAATTAGCAGTCCTAAACTAAAGAAGAAAAAAGTCCTTAATCAAGCTTCAAATTTAATTACATATAAAGGATACAAAAAAGCTTACCAAAAGACTGAGCGGAAACCTTCTGCTAGAAGACTGAGTAGCATAACTGTTCATATGGTAAAACAGTTTTATCTACAAGACAATGTATCTAAAATGTTACCTGGTAAAAAGGACTTCAAATCAAACAACAAAATAAGAAAACAAAAAAGACTTCTAATGGGCACCTACAATGAACTACTACAAAAGTTCAATAAAGAACACCCGACCCACAAAATAAAGAGTGTCGACACCTTCCGTAGGTTAAAGCCCTTTTGGGTAGTACCTTCAAAACTAGAACATAGAAATACATGCGCTTGCATCATTTGCAGTAACGTCAAGTTAATGATGGATAAAGTCATTACTTTAAAAGTTACCAATCTCAAATTAGGGGAATTGGTAGAAAGATCTGTTTGTAAGAGCAATTCAAAAACATGTATGGTTAACAAGTGCCAAAGGTGTGATGACAAATTAAAGGCCATCCTTGGAATAAATGAAAATAAAGCGGATGAAGTCATGAATGATGAAGTCGTAACTTACTTTCAGTGGTTGAAATCGAACAAAAACATTGCTGATGGCAAAACTATAAAAGTTGTCACAAAAGCTAAGCAGACTTGCTCTAAGAAAGATTTTCTTGAAATATTCTATAGAAAAATGCTATTGTACAGAGAACACGTGTTTAAAATCAAGCACCAATTCTCAGAATTAAAAGCTTTAAAAGAGAACCTGAAAGAAAAAGAGGCCCTAGTCCACATGGACTTCTCCGAAAATTACGTTTGCAAGGGCTACACTGAACCACAGAGCATGCACTTTGGTGGTTCAAAAAATCAGTTGTCTCTCCACACTGTTGTCATATACAGGAAGGATTGTGTAAAGTCAATATGTACAGTATCAACCAACACTGACCACAGAGCATACACCGTATGGGCTCATTTGAGACCAATATTTGACCAATTACAAGAATTAGAAATCTTACATCTGCAGTCTGATGGGCCTTCCTCCCAATATAAAAACAGATTCAACATGTACTTTATAACAAAAGTTAAAGACTACCTGCCGAACCTAAAGCACCTGACATGGAATTTTTCCATCAGTGGCCACGGAAAAGGGGCATCAGATGGCGTAGGTGGGACAGTGAAGAGGTCAGCTGATCTTCGAGTAAAGAACGGCAGTGACATTCATAACAGAAGTCAGAGAAGCAACCAAAAAATTGATATAATCGAAATTAAGTCAGAAGAAATTTTAAATGAAAAAGAAAATCTTAAATCTTTATCTTTGGAAGCAATCCCATCTTGTTCTAAAGTCCATCAAGTGACTTGGTCCTCAAAACATGACAACCTGATCCATTTGAGAGAACTGTCTTGCTTTTCCTGCAAATATGACAGCTGTTGTCAGCACCACGGACTTCAACAGGAGACACACTCATTTAAAACTGAAAAACCCAGTATCCTTTTCAAACTTATTTCATTACTTAATATAAAATTAATTGCATATACTGTATTGTAACAATGTCAGACAGTAAATATTAGGATAAATCATGATTCAATGTATACAATCTAATTTGTCTATTTCAGTTTATATGCGCTACCCACTGTTAAATATGGATTCACATTTTAACATTACTACAGACAGAGTTCATAACATTATCTAGAAGAAAATCAATTAAAATAAAATGGCAATTTCTTAAATGTAAAGAACATACTACTGTATTGTTTTTGCCCAAACTATTTTATCATCATATAATTTTCTAAATTTTTCAATTAACAAGTTTTAAAACCTATCTTTACATTTTCCTTAACAGATTTTTCCAGGTAAAACTTCAAAAGGTAAAAAGCAAAACAAAGGTGAAAATCAGGTGTTGACAACTGTAGACCCACAACAGGATATGATGCCAGTTTTTAATGACCCTAAAGAAAATGATTGGCTGCTTGTTAAATTTAAAGGAAGGAGGAGCGATCAATACTATGTTTGTGTGGTGGAAAACGTCACTGAAGATGGCCTGCAAGTACACTGTGCCAGAAACATGGGTAACAACTTGACATTCAAATGGGCAGTACCTAATGACAAGTGTATTATAGACTACGACCAAATTAAAAAAAAAATTGCCCTCTCCAACCTTTAACTATAAAAATGATAGAATGGTTTCATTTCAATTTCCAGTTAACGTCTCAGACTCAGTTACCATCAACTAATTTAAATTACAAAAGCAGTATAATTGGCTTACCTTAGGAAAATATAAGAAATGCTTTTTTAGTATTAATTTCTCTTTATGGACACTAATTTGACCTTACCTCCTTGGCCACTCAAATCCAAATTTTGTTCTAAAAAATTTGTTTTTATGATTTTTGCCAATTTCCAGGTTTCTGAGTTATAAAGGACTGGTTGAATTATAGTTTTATAAATTATAATTTATTTTTTTTACAGTTAGTTGCTGCAATTGGTCTCATTTCTATTCCAATTAAAGATCTCAAAAAATTCAGTTAAGAAGTCATAATACCTTACAGTCGGAAGTACCCAAATTTAAAGAGGCAACCTTTGAGGATCAATAATTATAATTTTGAAAAAGTAGCCCAATTTCAATACCTATAATTTCTAATTTTAAGGCCAATCTTATTTGCTTCCTTTAATCTCAGTGACCTTACCTACGTCCTCTTTTGATTCTGGAATATTCAACACACACATCTCAGTCAAATCTATCTGTTTGTCGGGTATGACAATTTTCTGCATTGTTTCCCAGAGTGTGGGTCTTATTATGATATCAAAAGCTTTTACAAAATCAATGAACAGGATGTAACATTCTTTATTATACTCCCAATACTTTGATATTATCTATCTTATCACATAAATGTGGTCTGTTGTTGAGCATCAGAGCAATAGAGGTTATAAAATATTTCATAATTTATGAAACATTTCATAATTTATAGAAACCATCAACCCGGTTTCATCAAAGGATGTCATTGGTCATAAATAATTATGACTTGATTTATGATTGAAATCCTATGACTATGAGCATTTACCATGCATTTAGGTTCACTTATTTAAGTTTAAGCTTACACATTTAGTGTGTTATTTTCTTTATGTACTCATGTTTAACTGCACTTATTAATTTGCAATGACAATGTGTTACCACATATGTGTTACCTTTTTACTTTGAGATTTTTTCTAGGTGCAATTTGATCATAAGTTAGTATAGTTACCGTACATTTCTCTGTTGTACACTGATTTTAGGTTTACTTAATTCAGTTTTCTGTTATAGAACTCTATGTCTAAATGTACTTGATTTATTTGCAATGATAATGTGTTTATTAAAAAAAAAAGACTTTTTGGTATGCAATTTGATCGTAGTAATATGATTTGTAATTTGCATATAATTTTTCCACATCCTGGCCGGTACTGATCCTAAAACTGTTTTCCCGTAAGGAATAATAGTAAAATACTGATATTTGTTCATAGTTATTAAAACCCTATTATCTTGATATTATATAAATTTTGAGTATTTAACTGCATATTTCATGATTTCAATTATTCATTGTATTTTAGGTTTACTGAATTCAGTTTTCTGTTTGTACTCTATGTCTGAATGTACTTATTTATTTGCAATGTTAATGTGTTTAATGCACAAAGACGGTTTACTTTGACTTTTTGGTATATGCAATTTGATCATAGTAATATGATTTATAATTTCCATATAATTTGTCCACATCCTGGTCAGTACTGGTCATACAATTGTTTTTACTGTATGGAATAATAGTAAAATACTGATATTTGTTTATAGGAAGTACAATAAATTTTAATTTGTCTTTGTGTATTTAGTCTGAAAATTATTTATCATTTTCAGCCTGAAGAAATTGATTTGTCTTGATAGTATATAAATATTGAGTATTATACTAAATATTTCATGATTTAGATAATTAATTGTATTTTAAGTTTACTTAATTCACTTTTCTGTTTACACTCTATGTCTAAATATACTCATTTATTTGCAATGTTAATGTGTTTATTGCACAAAGACTGTTTACTTTGACTTTTTGGTATATGCAATTATTGATCATAGTATTATTTGCAATTTCCATATACTTTTTCCACATCCTGGTCAGTACTGGTCATAAAATTGTTTTCCCGTATGGGATGATGGTAAAATAATGATATTTGTTCATAGTAAGTACAATAAATTTTAATTTCTTGTTTTGTATACCATGTAATTAAATTATTTACCCTTTTCATTCTAAAGAAATTGGTTTTGCTTGATATTAAATAAATAATGAGTATTAAACTAGATATTTCATAGTTAATTAATTGTAGAAAATAATTTTTCATTTTTAATAAAAGAAACGTCATTTCTCAAAGAAGATAAACTGTTTATTTTCAGATTGCAAGAGTTTGCCTGTAATTTTTCTTTCAATTTTATTATCTATTTTAAAAATAAAACATAACAGTTTTATAATGCTTACGATCTCCATTAAGGCCTGGTTCCACAGGATGCGGAATCTCCGCCGTGCGGTGCGATTTTTTCCGCTGCGGAATTAAAACGACACTGGTTTAATGGAGTTCCCATGTGTGCGGTTCCACTGACTTGCGATTCCGCATCCCGAAATTTCCGTTCCGCATGGCGGAGAAATCATACTGGTCTGAGAGCAGTAGCAGTGCGGATTCCGCCAGCGGAGAAGAGCCATCAAATATTGTGACCGTCAGTTTCATTATGTCTTGTGCTGTAAAAAGAGTTATGGATGAACGTTTTTCTTCGACCAAAGAGGAAGAACTTGTCGAGTTGGTGTCTCAACATGATGTGGAAATCGCATGTCAGTGGATTTCTGAGAAATTAGCGA